GACTTACTGGCGATGATGCCATCCATTTGCTGGAGAGCCAGGTGTAGGACCTTCGAGGCCTCCAACAGATCCGCATCACTATTATCACGACAATTGCCATTCAATTCAGACAATTCACTGCCATTTCTCGCATCCAAACCATTGTTATTGTATTTGACACTCATTTTCATCCACACTATTCACTATACAATGAAATATATTGAACACTATATGTATATGAAATATATGAAACTATTTGTCAAAATAATGTTTAAATTAAAACTTTAAAAAAACTTTTTGTAATAAAAGTTCACTCTTTGATCACAATTTGGGTAAAAGTTTTGTTTTGTTTCGTTATAAACAGTTCATTACAATTGAGTCCATTTATGGTCAATCCCTATCATTTATGTCTATAACTCAAAACCTGTTCATATTTAAGGCAATTTAATTCATTTTAATTAATGTCTTATTTATAATCAAAATAATTAAATTGTAATTAAATATAGTTTATATGATTTGAATGACGAGTATATATAGCGAGCATTTCCTGTATGTATGCATTGAGTAATGGGTGGGGATTACGATGGCTTTGACTATCAAATTGAAAGTTTCAATACCTGTACAGACAGTAAACCACAGGTTGTAGACTACAACTTATAGTAACACTTGCATTGATCACCTTTATTGGATCTAGTCAATTGATTCACAATCATTATAATCAGACAATAACCATGATCTATTACACTGTAAATAAATATGCATTAAGTTGTTTAGATGGCACCCAAGATCTGCATCTTTTAATTGAATAGATTCTACAAATATTCTCATTACGGTATATGACCAGGTTAACAGTCTAACATTGCCACAGTTGTAGCTATTAGTTAACATGATATTAATCATTATAAATAGACACTGAATTGCAACTATTCTAGCAATTGATTGATTGATTAGTAGACATAATAATGTAGTACCGTATGATCATACCTGAATACAGTATGATACCATAAGTTAACCATGAACTTATAATCGGGAACAAATTTCATAAATGAATTGTGATAACATTTATTAAACTATACATAAATTGTCTACAAGTGATGAATCAGTTGTTATAGAAGTGGTGCTGATGTTTATTGGCGTTCATAGCCTTCCTCTTATGGTCCTCAATATGCGAGCCATTGATCTGTTGGACGGGACAACCGGGCAATCCTTTGCCAAACAGACCGGAACTCCACTTCAAATACTCTCTCAAATATTTGCCATAATATATGTCATCACTTTTGGCCAAATCGATGCGATCGGCCGACACCTTATGGCTGGGGTTCACAGACAGGGCACCGGTATATGTGTTCAGTTTGACACATCCCACGTCCTCTTCGGTGGGGATGCCGTCGGGGAAGGCGATGGGCATCAACTGAATCAAGTGCTTCACCCGCCATAAGAGGCCATTGAAGTGCGGAGTGTTGGGCACAACCACTCGGATGTGGCACTCCTTCTGATGTAATCCCAAGTGACTCAACACATACTTCTCGTGCCTCAAGACAACAGATAGTGAATGGTTGCACGCATTCAATGGCTCATCACTGATACATACCATGGGATGTGAGTCATAGTCTTGTACCTCCAGACCAGATGGAAAGGCGAGACATCCGTGTCTTTGAGGTCCAGTTGTCTGATTTGGTTGATCTCATTGATGGTGTCCTCGATGGCGCCTTTGTTGATACCAAATGGATATCTGTATGCCTTTGTGTGGTCCCTCTTGTAATCAAAGGGTCCCTTATAAGTGATCCTATAGTTGAGGAATCGCTTCTGGATGTGAAATACGGACACAAAACTCATTGCAATTCAATTCAATTCAATTGCATTTCATTTGCAAATTGTTTTCAATTTTCTTGTTTTGATCGTCACTTCTATCACACCAATGATGTGCCGCTGTTTGCCATTCAATGCCATTGCAGTCTATGTGAGGGGCGCTCAACACACGTGTCGTATAGTATTAAAGGCCCTTATATTTAAAACACATGTTATTTGCATTTTGTTAAAAAGTTCACCTAGGTTCATTTGCCATGTTTATGGTACAGAATATTCTGCTTATAATTTTTGGACATCATTTGGAAGTCATTTTAGCATATATTATATTTAATTGACTTTTAGCCAGGTGATAATAACTGGTGATTTATTACAATTAATTATTAAGGTCTTTGTACCCGATTACTTATTTTGATTAGTAAAAGATTTCAGACAAATAATCTAGCTAGATCTAGGCCTGATAGTTTTATTATTAAGGTAATTAAATTTAGTATAGTAACAAACTGTTACCAACAGCAATCAAGCATTAATTAAATTAGCGGTTATTTGGATACAAAGCATTATATAAAACTATATATCCTTTCATGATTGGACCAAAAGTGCACTTCAATTGATTTGTCGTTCAATTTATTATTTTATCTCATAATTCATAATTTATTTCTCAATAGCACTTCATTGTCTGATAATTGTCTTAATTAGATGATGAGAGGTATTACAGGTGTGAGTAAGTCTATAGTCAAGGGAAAGAGATTTAATCCTATACTTTAAACTTTAAACTAAGATATGAGAAATATGATCTTGATCTATGATCTTAAATCGAGAACTTTTTTGATTTGTTTTATATATAAATAGTCCAAACAATTACAGAATTTCATTCACATTCAACAGTTATATTCAAATAACTTCTAAACAGTAATTAATACTAAAACTCAATCAAATGAATACTTATATCGTATTAAGTCTGCTGTTTGTGGGCCTCAACGCCTTCCCGATGACTCCCGACTCAGACTCTGTGGGCGACGTCAAGGATGTCGACCCAAACCAACCCGAAGTGAAAGAGGCCATCAGTTTTGCATTTAATGTGATCCACGACTCCATAGACTCGACTCATGCCATCACAATGGGAAAGGTATTGAAAACTCAGTCACAAGTAGTTTCCGGTGAAAAGTTTTACATAACCCTTGAAGTCAATGAAACCGATTGCGATAAACATGTCACTGACTTGAAGCCGTGTAAAGTTATTGTAAGTATCCATACATTTGTACCATTTATTTAACATTTATTGCTTTAAAAACACTAATTGTAATGAATATTGAATTGTATAGAGGAGTGAAGTCTGCACTTCTGTGGTATTGTCTCGTTATTGGGATCCGACCGACAAAAATCAAATTCTGTCCTTCAATTGCAATGGATTCTAGTTTTCTGAATNCGGCACATCATTGGTGTGATAGAAGTGACGATCAAAACAAGAAAATTGAAAACAATTTGCAAATGAAATGCAATTGAATTGAATTGAATTGCAATGAGTTTTGTGTCCGTATTTCACATCCAGAAGCGATTCCTCAACTATAGGATCACTTATAAGGGACCCTTTGATTACAAGAGGGACCACACAAAGGCATACAGATATCCATTTGGTATCAACAAAGGCGCCATCGAGGACACCATCAATGAGATCAACCAAATCAGACAACTGGACCTCAAAGACACGGATGTCTCGCCTTTCCATCTGGTCTGGAGGTACAAGACTATGACTTACATCCCATGGTATGTATCAGTGATGAGCCATTGAATGCGTGCAACCATTCACTATCTGTTGTCTTCAGGCACGAGAAGTATGTGTTGAGTCACTTGGGATTACATCAGAAGGAGTGCCACATCCGAGTGGTTGTGCCCAACACTCCGCACTTCAATGGCCTCTTATGGCGGGTGAAGCACTTGATTCAGTTGATGCCCATCGCCTTCCCCGACGGCATCCCCACCGAAGAGGACGTGGGATGTGTCAAACTGAACACATATACCGGTGCCCTGTCTGTGAACCCCAGCCATAAGGTGTCGGCCGATCGCATCGATTTGGCCAAAAGTGATGACATATATTATGGCAAATATTTGAGAGAGTATTTGAAGTGGAGTTCCGGTCTGTTTGGCAAAGGATTGCCCGGTTGTCCCGTCCAACAGATCAATGGCTCGCATATTGAGGACCATAAGAGGAAGGCTATGGACGCCAGTAAACATCAGCACCACTTCTATAACAACTGATTCATCACTTTGTAGACCATTTATGTATAGTTTAATAAATGTTATCACAATTCATTCAATTTATGTATGAAATTTGTTCCCGATTATATGTTCATGGTTAACTTATGGTATCATACTGTTTCAGGTATGATCATACGGTACTACATTATGATGTCTACTAATGAATCAATCAATTGCTAGAATAGTTGCAATTCATCAGTGTCTATTTATAATGATTAATATCATGTTAACTAATAGCTACAACTGTGGCAATGTTAGACTGTTAACCTGGTCATATACCGTAATGAGAATATTTGGAGAATCTATTCAATTAAAAGATCTTGGGTGCCATCTAAACAACTTAATGCATATTTATTTACAGTATAATAATAGATCATGGTTATTGTCTGATTATAATGATTGTGAATCAATTGACTAGATCCAATAAAGGTGATCAATCCAAGTGTTAAATTACTATAAGTTGTAGTCTACAACCTGTGGTTTACTGTCTGTATAGCTATTGAAACTTTCAATTTGATAGTCAAAGCCATCGTAATCCCCACCCATTACTCAATGCATACATACAGGAAATGCTCGCTATATAGTATTCGTCATTCAAATCATATAAACTATATTTAATTACAATTTAATTATTTTGATCATAAATAAGACATTAATAAAAATGAATTAAATTGCCTGAAATATGAATGGATTTTGAGTTATAGACATAAATGATAGGGATTGACCATAAATGGACTCAATTGTAATGAACTGTTTATAACGAAACAAAACAAAACTTTTACCCAAATTGTGATCAAAGAGTGAACTTTTATTACAAA